ATCACCACAAATGCCATCGAAGCTCTTCTCTCTACCAGCGCTCAGCGCCCAGACTACTTCATACAGCTACTATGCTACAACTACCGAATGACGATGCAACCCATTGACGTCAGCAGCAGCGACCAAAGTGCAAGCAGATGTCGACCATGTAGACCATCGCCAAGACCAGGTACGTGCCCTCACATCACCATCCTCATCTCTCTCACTCACTCATCACCCTCGTCTTCACACCCAAGTCTTTCCTCGTACACGAAGACCACCACCGACCCCGCTGACCTTCATCCAAGCCAAGCCTGACTATGGAGGGCTTGGCTATGGCGCTGCCCCCAGCAGCGCCCTTCTTGCTCTCTCGTCCGCACACACGTACGAGCACCACTGCCAGCACCAGCAAGCAGCCCGCGAGCGCACGCTCCAGCAGCGTTGCCGCTTGCACAGCAAGTGCCCAAATGCCAAACACGGAACCCGATCCTTTCCTATATGGAAAGTGGCGGGCTCGTTGCCACTTGCTTGCCCTGTGAGACCGAGTTTTTAGTAGCTCCAGTCTCGGCCAAAGTGTTTGCGCCCAGGCCCGTTCAGACAGTGGCCTGGGACCGAATTGGTTACGCAAGCCCAACCACCCAGGCACAAACGTGCGGTGTACCCTGCTTTCACCACGTTGTCGGACGAGCCTGGAAGGCTCACGAATATTTTGGATTCTCTCAAGCAAGGCGGATGTAACCAACTGGCACGTGGCAACTGTCTGGCGCCCAACAAGATTTACAAAAATTGTCGAATTCAGGGTTCGTTGAGATTCAGGGGCCCACCTTCACTTAGGGCGGGCACGCATTTGTTGTCGAGGGCCTTATGCTGGTATGCCGAGGGGACCAAATGCTTTCAGAGACCTACCCAATCTCGAGATCAGACAAGGCGACCCATTGGCCCCGCGCATCTTCCTCTTCGTTATGGAAGCCATAGCCTCCTTCCTTCGGAAAGACCCTTCCATTAACCGCCTTGCTAAACACAACTTCAATCCATTACACGACTTCGCCCGACCTAGTGCGCTAATGTTCGCCGATGACCTCACTGTCCTCATTCGTGCCAACAACTGCTCATTCCAAGCCCTCGTAAGAGCAATGGAAGCCTTCAGACTAGCATCAGAAATGAAGGTCAATTGGGGCAAAACCGAAGGATGGTGGCTAGCAGACGGGGGTCGATACAGCCACACCCATGTCATGGTCTACAGGAGATCAGGCACTAAGATTCCTTGGTATCATGGTAAACAAAGACGGAGTGTGGCCAGACATGGGCTGAAACCCCGTCGCTAGGGCAATCACTCGCATGGCCCCGTGCAAAAATGCCCTGGCCTCGTTAATCGGAAAAGCACTACTAATTAACACAACAATCTTCTCCACACTGTGGTACATGGCATCCGTCTGGTCCCCCCCTGACGATGACTTCAAAACACTAAAAAACAGGGCCAGATGCTACTTATGGACCGGAGACCTCAACAGGACCACGTGTATCGACAGGGTGCCACATCATCAGGAAACCGCAGGAGGGGGGGACTGGGGCTTATTGATCCCAAACAGGAATCCATAGCACTGCAGATGAAATGGATTGTCAAGATCCGAATAAGACAATTCACTCCATGGACCCAAATGGCTCTGGACAGCATCAGAAATCTAGCACCTATCAACTCCCCTTCGAACATGAGAGGTCTCTTCTGGATAATGGCGAACGACTGAGGCAGACAAAGGAGAAGAAACCCAACAGATCGTACTACAAGCCCTACGCCAACAGCAAAATGATGCCGAGCAAACACAGTGCACCAGGAAACAGAGAAGCGGTCCTGAGACAACCTTTGTTCTGCAATTCCTGGGTCGTAGACTCGAGTGGCTCACCCTGGACACTACGCACAAAAGGCAGGAGATGGCTATCCTGGGTGGAAAAAGGGGTGTGGCAGGTGAAACGCATTTGGGCAGAAGATTGAAGATGATGGTTAACCGAACAGGAGCTCCGAAATGAATTAAAAGGCTGCCACACCCTCACAGAAAATAACACAGATTCAGAAGAGCATCCCAACACAGTGGCTGTCCCTCTTAAGGGAGGGCTTCTCGTGGAAATCTGGGCACTGGGGCATACTCATTTCCCAAACCCAGCCTCGCATAGCTTACCGATTTGTCTCGAACCAATGCACCCAGCTACCTCTCCAAATTCTTCTTCTACCCGATCACTAATCACAACCTACAACAGCTGGGAGTTATGAACAAAGAACCCCAGTGTGACATGCTAGAATCCTTCCGACTGAAGAAAGTGAGGGTCAACCTGGATAATCTTCCAACCTGATGTCTGCATCTCAGACCTCAAATTTGACCCGAAAGAGTGGATCTGGAAACTGGGGAAATCCGGGAGAACGAGAACGATATTCAAATTTGGTTATGACGTAGGATTACAAACTACAGATCCGGATCCCAGACTCAAAGAAAAATGGAGGGAGATCCTGAACCGAGAACCTACTGACCCCATTTCCATCCCCTGGACGAAGTACCTGTCCATCAGACCGGTTAGGATCTGAAGCATGCAGTGGCTTGTAGCCCACGCATCCCTGCCCTTCAATCAATGGCTCCACAAGAGGAGGAAGCATACGGATCCCGACAGATCCGAATTATGTGTTATGTGCACAGACAACAGACCAGAAGACGTGCCCCACTGCCTCTTGTACTGCACTGAAGCAGCCTGGATATGGAACAAAGCTCGCGACCTATGGTCCCTCCTCTTCTCATCACCCCCTCTCCCCACATCTCCTCAAAACATCCTCCTTCTATCCAACAGTACTAACAATCTCAACGGCGGCAAGGAAATCTGGTTTCACCTTCTCAAGAAGCTGGCTCTGTGGGTGATCTGGGAAAGGAGGTGTACCAAGACTATCTAGAGAACAGAGGTGCCAAGGGAAGAAATGTGGGCCCTACTGTTGAGTATGACGGAAACTGAGATTCGGTGCAGATGGAGGGAGGCTACATCAACAACGAAAGTCAAGCCAGAAAGGCTAGCCACCAAGAGACGTTCTTTCATGAGAGACTGGATCCTACAGGGAAAGATCGCAACAGTGGCAGATAATAGATTGATCTGGAAAAAATGGCACAGCAAAACTCCAGCAAGGACGACGACCGAGTGATGGGCAAACTGAGACCAAAGTCTCAACACTACAGACAACTCTCCTCTTTTCTTGTTGCACGCGATCTATATGACAGAATCAAAATGGATTCTGAGAGGAAAAGCGGTAGGGCAAGCTGACAGTCAATCCTCCTACATAGGAGCAATCAATGCTGGTCAGGGTTCCTTCGGTCAGACAGAAGGAAGCGTGAGTGTGCATATGTATTCCAATTCTCGACTTGCCGGTGGACAGGAACCGGACTGATGCTCCCCAGAATGGATATGGAGCCAGGACCATAATGACCTGTTTTTATTATAATAAAAAAAGAAGAAGAAGGAAAGAGCCCTCGCGGGGCCCTTATCAGACATGCAAGTGTGCTGGGATGTGGCCCCCAGCAAGCCTAGTGCCCGCCCTAAGTGAAGGCGGGCCTGAATATCCACGTGAGGCCTCTGTTTGACATTTCTCCATATGCGGGGCATCAGACAGTTGCAGCATGTCAGTTGGTTACAAAGCAGCGTGAGCCTTTCCTGGCTCTCTCCTGAAGCGGCAGCTGCGCTGCACAGTTGAGCCCAGGGCCTTGGGTAGTTGCGCCCTGGGCACACGCAGTGTGAGGCCGACACATCACGCTGTGGCCAAGGACGAATGAGAAAGCAGCATTGTCGTCACACAACCTCCACGAGCCAATGAGTATGCGGCAAACACTTGCAGCCTGGACGGCTGCACGGACGTGCCCAACTGTAAGGGGCCCAGACCCGTAACAGCAGAGGTGGTCCTGGGCGCAGACACTGCGGACCGACTGGAAGCTACTGGAAACATCTCCAGCCCGTAAAGGAAAGTGCCCTGCCCAGGCTCACGCCTTGGGGGGCAATGCGGCCATGCTGCTGCACTCGCACAGGAGCAGCCGCATTAGCGCTGCGGGCCAGACGCGCGCACGCACGCTGGGGTGAGAGGGCCGCTGCTGCGGCAGTTGGCGCACGGCGGCCATAGCCGGGCTGCTGGGGCGCAGGCAGGTGATGGCGATGGTGGTCTTCGGGTAGGAGGCGCATGCAGATGGGAGACAGCGTATGATGAGAGGAGGAGAGAGAATGTACCTGGTGTATGCTGGCGGTCGGCATTGGTGATGACGTCGCGTACACTGGTCTTCAACTTCGATGTGATCCAGTCGCATGAACATAGAAAGGATAGATAGGCCGAGTAGTGTAGGCTGGGCGCTGGGCGCCAGACAGTAGGAGCGACATTGGATACAGAGTTGGTGTGACCAGAGAGCATCGGCATTGGCACTGGAGTTAATTGTATTGCTCTTATTTGAATGGTATCTTGGTGCATTGTGCTCTCTGCTTGGTACATGACTATCTGGACTACTAGTCGTGATTCTGCAACTTGGATTTCTGTCTACGCTCTCGCTCATATTCCTTGCACATTTCTTGATTTATGTGTGTCATACTTGCTCAGGGCCCATGCTAATCTTCTCTGTATCGTTCGGATTTCAACGGATGCCCCGAAGGACAATTGATGATAAATTTAGATACAATAAACATGCGAAAATAACAGAAGGCCACACTTCCGCAGATGTGAAAAGCAGAAAAATTCAGATGCCCAAGCTGCATACACAGCAGCAGACACTACAGTTGACGCACGCCGCACGGTGACGAGTTCACTGGTCCATTGCTTTTTCTTTTCTGTTGGCGTTTTTTTTCTTTTTTCTTTGAATTGTTTTCCACAATCACAAACGTAAACCGCTCATAAAGAAGCTGAGGGAATGGTTTCACACTAGGAATTTCTTGGATGTCTCTGACCGCAAAGACGGCCAGATTCAGCCAAAGAATGTCCTGACTTTATTTCTGGTCGGATGTATTCAAGTGGACAGGGGTGATACGGCCCGAGAGTTTGAAATTGTGAAGGCGAAAATGGCTCAGAGAATTAAGGAGCTGGAGCTGAGCAATGCTGAAATACAAGCGCTCCTTGGTAAGATCCGTACTGCTGTACTATCCTGATTATAGTGCAAGTGTTATGATCCTTGCTATCTTGCAGTGCAAAAACTCAAAGATAGACAATGCCATTCAATTGCAACTTGCTAACTGAAATGAAAGAGCTTGGAAAGAGAAATAGACAAAGGAAGAAGAAGAAATAAGTATGGAAGAAGAAGAAGAAGAAGAAGAGGAAGAAGAAGAAGAAGAAGATGATGAATACCAGCAGGGACCAATGTCTTTTTTTTCTTTTTTCTTTTTTCTTTTTTTTTTCTTTTTTTTTGAACAGAGGGACCAATGTCATTTAGACTAAGTTTTATATTTAATAATACTCTAAATGACTACTAGACTATTGGACTTAGTCAATGTGGAACAAACGAAAGATGACCGAATTTGGCGAGTTGTGTACTTTGCGTCCCAATCAGTGTGGTGTGAACTACGTGTGTGATGTGTGATATGCTCTCTGAGTACTATCAACTGTGATGCATGTCACATCTCATAGACCTTCGGATGCACGTGTGAACCTTCCTGGAGTCATCTAACTAGGAGTGAGTGAGCACGCTGGTTACGGGTGCTACTACTGTAATGACCTGCCAAACACGGACTGAGACACACAGCTGATTTCTGAGTTTTTCTCATAGAATGTATGCCTTGCTGAGTTCCCCCCCTGTTGCTGAGTTTTCTAAGTCTGTGTGTGTGCGTGCCTGCTGGTCTGCATGCCTGTCTGAGTGCTTGTCGGCTTGAGTGTGTGTGTGACCCGCAAGGGCACTTGTTCGTTCAGACGGCCCGAAGGGCCGGTACTTACCTGTGGCCGTGACATTGAAGGTTGCATTGGGGAAAACACACTCAAGTGGCGGGGAAAGAGGCCCGCGGCACTTAGAGCAGTGGAAAACACTCAAGTAGCAGGTAGGCCCGTACCACACCAAGTAGAGGTAGATGTGCCGGGTACTCGAGGCCGAGCAGAAGAAGACAAAAGTTGGCATTTTTAGAGGCCCAGTAGTTGTAGGCTAGGTCTAGGCGGGCACCAGTCCAACCAGTCTAAGCTTAGGGCCTGTACGGGCATTGTACTTTCTGTTGAATGTGTGCTTCGAAATTGGCCCGGATCATAACACTACCACTGAAATTTTACTAAGTGCGACGGACACCCAGCATTTTTAGCGGCGAGAGGCTGGAGTTTATTAGCCTCAAGATGGGAGGCGATAACTATCGTGGAGACGATAGGGATGGGAGATGCGCCCGTACACCAGATGGGGGGCGACGTAGCGGTCGTGATAGAAGATGGGAGAGAACAGATGGTTCGCGTAGCAACGGTCGCGAAGATCGGAGGGATGACCCTCCTCGGTATGGACCACTGACATGTTTCGGATGCCGAGACCGACTGTTGGAGATACGGGAGCGATCCTGTAGCAAGACGCCAGATGGAGGCGGATGGATTCATATGCCTCCCAGAGTTCAACTGTAGGGGGGCTGGCAAGGGAGTGTGGTCAACAGCATCCAGCGGCTATGGAACCAGCAGTTGACAATCCAATCGATGACTCAGAGTTGGGTCGAACCGTAGCTTCGGTGCAAGAATTCGTTCGAAATGGAACGAGCTCGAAGAGGGGAGAGGGAGCAGCGACACCGGGAATGTGAGGAGGCTCGACGGGCCGAGGAGGAAGCTAGAGCAGCCGAGGCGGAGCGTGCCTTCCGCAAGGCAGAGAAGTTACGAAAACGTGAGGAGGAGCAACTGACGACGGTGAAGGCAGTTGAAGTACAGCTTTCCCTGCGCCTCGGTGATATCGGGGAGGAGATCAGAACCAAAGTCCGAAAGGCGATCAGCGGAACGGTGGTCAAAAAATTATCCAAATTTACTGTCCTGCCAACGGACAAGGGGAAGGAGGCTGTCACGGAGGACATTCCTGCGACTTGGGACATACATACACACATAATGCAGTGCAGCTTGGGACAAAACATGGTCGGACTTGTGTTATGTGTGTGCCCCAAGTCGCAGCATGTTTTGTCGTTGAAGTTCAACCTTCATTTTTTCCTGTTTCTGATTCCTTTTCCTCTTTCTTTTTCTTTTTTTTTTTTTTTCTTTTTTTTTTTTTTTTTTTTTTTTTT